CCCTGAAATCATATACTACCTCCCTTGTTAAATAAATGCAACACTTTGATTTTTATACCATTCACATGTTTCTACTTTGACTACCTTTTATTTATTAATGTAATAATATTATTTTATGAAAAAAATATTGTTAAACTTGTCTCATTGTAAATTTTCATAATCTAATTTTTTAAATTTTTTTACTAATACAAAATCATTTATATTAATGGTCAAAGTTGTGTCTCGCCAAGTGTGAAATGTTGACCGTTGCATTTATTTAAGAACGGAGGAAGTATAAAAATAAAAATGTTTGCTTACCAGTTTTGCCCAAAGATCCCCACAAAAAAGGTAGAGTTATGCTCGATGCACAATGATTTTTGTACAAAACTTTTACAACCTACATGCTGACCAATTGTTATTTGAATTTTGTCTTTATAGTGAGAAAGTTATTAAAAGAGATCAGATAATTACTCTAGATATGAGTAAAACTCATCCACTTTCTCAATCTATTACCTAGCTAGTTTTTTCCCCATTATAATATGTAAATTCGCAACAATTAATTATATTACCTAATAAATTAATTAATAATTAATATAGACTAATATACCCTTCACCTATTACTACCTCCGTCCCGTTGGAAGGTTCCCATAGCAAAATGGCACAATTATTTAGGCAATAATTAAATAAAGTACTTCCAGTATATTTTGAGAAATAATTTTAATAGGTATATATTATAATGTAGTTAGTATTAATAAATGTGATGTTATACATGTATTATTTTTAATATTTAATGATTAATTTGTCACTTAAGATTGTTAATTATTTCTTAAAATGAAAATGGGAACCTTCTAACGGGACGTATAAAAAAGAAAGTAGGAACCTTCTAATGGGACAGAGAGAGTATTATTATAAAACCCTGATGAGAGCTAGAAAAGCAAACGATGGCGAGAGGGTGCATGCAGCTAGATTCATCAGCGGCAATTGGCCGAGGGCTTCAACCTGCAGGGATGGACGAAGATGGCTATGTGAGGATCTGGCAGGCCGCAAGCCAACGGCGGTCAGCGGTTGTTAGTCGCAGCGAGAGACTGACTATTCGTGGATCCCCATCGCAAGAGTACTATGGAAGAATCGAGACGGTGTTGTGGTCAACATGCATGGAGGATTCTCATCGCGCACCTCCCCTATAATTACCTTTCTCGAACAGATACCAAGCAGAGAGAACAACCTTATTTCAATTTTTCAATTTTGATTGTCTTTGAGCAGAGGAAGCAACTTCGAGTTATGGCCAGATGGACAATTCTCCAAAACGTAGGCATCCAAAATGCTATTGAATAATTTTAATTATTTCAATTATTCTTATTTGATTATGGCACAAGGTTCACACAATTCATAATTGCAGACATATCAAGTCACTGCCACTCCATTATAATTCTTCTTTCTCTATTTTTGAAATTGAGGTTTGTCCGCATTAAACATGAGCAATGAACACAGACATTGAGCATGCTAAGTGAACATGATAATAAATATGGTTGAATATGGGGAGTGAATATGACAATATATACTGTTGTACATGTGCATTGAATGAATGCATTGACGAAGTGTATTGTGCAGTGAATCGAAGACAATAGATCGTATTATAACCCTGGCGGAAAGTGCAGTGATTATGACATAATGTAAAACAGTCACATCGGCATTAAATGCAATACATTTAATTAGACATAAAAATACTAAAATTAGTAAATCATTCTACTCAGTTCGGCCATCCCACAAGAGAGGTGAGAGAAGCTCTGTAATACTCCATTCCTTGCAGCCATTTACGCACTTGAGCTAAGGAGGAAGAAGGAGGGAAAAAGAGAAGAGGAAAAGTTGGTTTTGGAGAGGAAAACTTGTGTTTAGCAAGGTAAGGACTCCATTAATCCCATTTCTGATTTTTCAATACTCTTTGATGATCATTCAATCATATTTCACACCCTAGTATTGTTCTACACGTTGGGATTTGTAGAAAGAGGGGTTGGAAGGTAGTTCTAAGTCCAAGAACGGACTTAGAAGCCAAAGAACCGGTTCGCCGGAAAATAACCTTTTGAAGGTTATTTGTAATACTATGGGTTTTATGATGATAAAACCTTGTTAGTAACTTGTCTAAGGTATTCAAGGAACTTTCACGGAGTTGAAAAGGTCGCCGGAGTTGTCGCCGGAGTTCGTTGAAGTTCGCCGGAGTTTCACCGGAGCTAAATCGGGAAGGCTAGAACTTCATAAGCTTCATTAAGGTGAGAAGACGGCTTTATGCTTTATAACTTTTGCGTTAGGCATTAGATTACCTAAAGTAATCAAGGATATGTTTGTGGAATGATTAAAGATAATCAAGTATTTGCTTATGCCATGATTTTGCATAAAACATAGTTGAAAAGCATGTTACGTAGGTTTGGTGATTAAAAATGTGATAACATATTTTGTGTGATGATCCAGGGATCCAAAATGGTATTTTTGGATCAAGGACATCAAGAAGTATATGTGTATAAAATTTCAAGTTAATCGGACTCCGTTTGGGTGGTCAAAAGGGGCGTTGACCGCCAAGTCAACTGCCATACCCGACCGGGTATTGACACATACCCGACCGGGTATTTGCTGAAAAATTGCCCAAGGGGCTACTGTCTCCTATACCCGATCGAGTATGGGTAGATACTCGATCGAGTATACATTGAAAATTAGCTTTGGGGGCTACCGCCTCCTGTACTCGACCGAGTATGGGTAGATACTCGATCGAGTATTGGTTTATGCTCAAAACGGACAGTTTTGAGCGGGTTAATGTGGGCCGTTCAGATGGGACCCGCCCACGTTGGTTCCTAAGGATGGTTATATGACTATAGGACTAGGTATTGTCCATAGTTGAAGGAACGAAAGGTTAGCCATATCCAGGTTAGGGTTTGGTAAGGATTTAGTTTGGGGTTGAGCATCCCCGGGACTATAAATGATCCTGAAACTCGGTTGGGGTTGAGTATCCCCAGGACTGCAAATGATCCTGAAACTCGGTTGGGGTTGAGTATCCCCGGGACATTAAATGATCCTGAAACTCGGTTGGGGTTGAGTATCCCCGGGATGCTAAATGCTCCCAAAACTCGGTAGGGTATTATGAATGTAGAATGTAGCTGGTGAGCTAGGTAACCGGGAAAGGAGTGAGAAAAGTCAGGTAAGAACTTTATCTCTAAAAGACTCTTTAAGGTAAATGACCTACGGGTTGAGTATTTTACGAGTATATATACAGTATGTATCATCGGGTGGATGAGGGACATCTATATGTATATATCACCCTATTTTTGGGTCTCGTGTCTGAAACATTAGTTATTCTTCATATAGCCTGCTTGTCACCAGTACTTCTATGGAGTACTGACCCCTCCGGGGGCCCTCACATTTTTCAGGTTGAGGCTAGAGTCCTACTACCTGCACCTTTGCCTAGGGTGATTGATCGAGAAGGAAGACGTGGTTCGTGCTTCCATTCTTATTTCAAATGTATAAACTGCTCATGGATTTTTGAACAATGTTTTCATTAAACCAGTTGGGGGCCTACGTGCCCGTGTTTGCCACGTGTGGCTAAGTATCAAACATATTATTATTTCTGCATTTGTTTGATTATGATATTGATGTTGATTGTATGTGTTTACTAATCGGTTTGGCAATAGAATCAATCGGACGCCTTGTACAACTCAATAGGGATGAACTGTTGTTGTTCTTATCGGGTTGTACGGCGGTTGTCTACGTGGCTCGGATGCGGTCCGGGGCGTGACAGAAGCTATGTAAATACAAATCAAATCAAAGGAGATATTACGTGGATATATACAAAAGGAATATATTCTAACAATGGTAATACAATATATGTTATTACGCCCTCGTAGTCGAAACAGGAGGTGACCGGATGCTGAGACTATACCGAAAGCGGATAAATGTTTGACGTGGTAAACCCTTTGTAAAAATATCAGCATATTGATACTCAGCAGGGATATGAAGTACACGGATGTCCCCAATGCGAACACGTTCACGTACAAAATGAATGCCAATTTCAATATGTTTTGTGCGTTGATGTTGGACAGGGTTGCCTGAGAGGTAAACAACACTGATATTATCACAATAGACCACAATTGCTCGTCGTAGTGGGAGATGAAGTTCAAGAAGTAAGTTTCGTAACCAGGTCTCATGTTTGTAGGGATAGTGGGAGAGGGTGGGAAATGGGTGAGAGTTTGAGAGTGGGAAGGGGGGGGTTGGAGATGGAGTGGGATAAGCTAGATTATCTAGGAGAAGGGTGTTAGGAGATAGGAAATCATAAGAGGTGGATGGTGGTGGTGATGGATCCGTAAAGGTGACATGGAGGGAGATGATAATCTTGCCAGTAGCTAACTCCATACAACGGTAACCACGGTGATTGGGAGGAAAACCAAGAAAGACACAACGAGTTGACCGGGGAGCCATTTTGTGCGGTGTGGTGGCGGTGAGGTTAGGGTAGCAGAGGCAACCAAAGGTACGGAGGTGGCTATATGTAGGCTGACGACAGTAAAGAGCTAAAGTAGGGGAGCGGAAGGATAGTGTTTTGGTGGGTAGGATGTTGTGGAGGTAAACCGCCATGTAAAGCGAGTCAACCCAATATGTAGCAGGAATCGAATAATGAGTCATAAGAGTACGGGTTATGTCATTAATTCGGCGTATCATCCTCTCGGCTTTACCATTTTGAGGGGAAGTTTGAGGACAGGAAAACCGAAATACCAAACCTCGTTCTTTAGCAAAATCGTGAAACAAGGAGTTATCAAATTCACGACCCATATCACATTGAAATGATTTTATTTCTCTTTCAAATTGGGTGCGTATAAGAGAGGTAAACTCTAAAAATTTGCCAAAAACTTGGGACTTGACTTTAAGAGAATAAACCCATAGGTAATTTGTGAAATCGTCCAACAGAATAAGGTAATAGCGAAAACCTGTGTTAGAAGTAATAGGACATGTCCACAAATCACTATGAATTATATCAAAAGGAGCAATGGTATTGGAGCCAGATGGATAGAAAGGTAACTGAACATGTTTACTAATTTGGCATGAATGACACAATTTGGAGGTAGCCTCCTTATTACAATTAATTAAAGATTGACTACGTAAAGAATCTATGATAGCAGCGCTAGGATGTCCAAGACGACTATACCATATATCAGTTGACACAACAGCAAGTGAGAGAGGGTGAGACACAGGGCGAGGTGACTGAGCACTTATTGTAAGAGGGTAGAGCTCCCCGGAACTATTGCATCTCATAACAAGGGTCCCCGAATTCAAGTCCTTCACAGAAAAACCAGAAGGATCAAATTCGACAGAAAAATTATTATCAATGGTGAATTGACGGACGAATATGAGATTTTTAATAATACCAGGGGTAACAAAGGCATTTTTAAGATATAAGTTGCGATTGGGAAGGGCTGTGGTTTTGGTGCCACTGGCGACCACTGGAATACAATTGCCATTTCCAACTAAAACAGAACGTACAATGCTTTTATTTAAAACAGAAGACAAATAACCTGAATCCGTCGTGAGATGTGAGGTGGCTCCCGTATCCATATAAAAAGAATCATCAGATGGTTGAGTTAAAGTCTTAGAGCTATATGCCTCGGCAATATCACTTGGTTGCAAAGTCTCCGTAGTGAGTGCAATATTTTTATTTTTTGGAGTATTGGCCGCCGGCGGATGGGGTCTAGATGAACTTGGGCCAAATGAGCCAAATTAGGGAGTAGGAGCTGCCCAATAGGAAGGGGCTGGAACCGTAGGATAGGGGCATGGTGGTAAAGCCCAATAAGGTGGCCCAATAGGCCAGGGTTGATATTCAGGCGGCCCAGGCATAAGAGGAGTAGTGGCGAACTGGTCTCGAGAAACATCCCTGCGATGCGGATCCCTACGATCTGTCTCATGGCTGGAACTCCGGCGTCCATGATTCCCGGCACCCCGCACCTGACGATGAGGATGTGAAGCCACCATAGCAGAGGGTGTCGAATCGCGAGCAGACTGGGGTTCCGAGACGGCCAGAGCAGTTGGAGGGGTGAGGGACTGCTGCGCTCGACGCTGTTCCTCGGTTCGAAGCTGAGAGCGAGCGGTCTCAAAACTCGACATAGACTGGGAGATGGAGGAAGCTACATTGTCATACTCTGTAGGCAGACCATTAATGAGTTGGATGACCAGTCGTCTTTCGTCCATCGGAAATTCAAGGTCACGAAGGCGGTCGGATAGAGTATTAAGCCGATCACAGTAGTCATCCACGCCTTTGCAGTCCGTGAATTTGAGATTAACAAACTGTCACTCCAAGATGGCAGCCCGGGTCCCCTTATTGTCTTGAAACAGAGTACGGAGACGTTCCCATAGAGCTTGAGCTGTGGTACTGGATTTGAGGACTGTGAGCATCAGGTCTTTTGTCATTGTGGAAAACATCCATTGACGAACGAGTGCATCCAGCTGTTTCCGAGTGGGCTCATCGATGCCGCTGGGAGGGTCAGAGCCGTCCACCAGTAACATGAGATTGTGAGCCTCAAGGTGAAGATGGAACAAGAAAACCCAAGAAGAATACTCATCGGCCTTGAGATCGAGAGTAATTGGAATGAGGGATTTTATATTGTGAATGGCGAGGGCTGGATGAATTAGCTGCTTAGGGACTGATTCACCAGCCATGGCAGAGAGCAACGAAGGGAAAAAAAATGAAGGATCAAAGGAGGAAGTCTGATACCATGAAGGAATACGTGTTATTCTGTGAGTAGAATGATTACATTGAGATCCTATTTATACAAGAGTAATGCTAACAAATAAGGAAACTATGTAAATACAAATCAAATCAAAGGAGATATTACAGGGATATATACAAAAGGAATATATTCTAACTATGGTAATACAATATATGTTATTAATATATATGGTCGGATTCTAATGAGAAGACATCTTAACACGAGAAGTGAGAAGCTACACATTTACCTATTTCTAATGCACTTTTTTGCTAATCTGATGCACTTTTTGCGATGGCAGAAAAGTTCCGATTAATTACGGAAATGCCACCGTGTCTAGCATCACTTTTTAATTTTTTTTTTTGCATTTTCCCATACACTTTTTTGCTAATCTGATGCACAAATCTTAAAATGAACGCATCAGATGCATTCTTACTTCTTACGATAAGCACTCTTCTCATTTGATCCTTATTCTATATATATAGTGCGGTTTCAGTGAGAACGGTGTCGTCTCAGGAGAGAAATAAGAATGAAATCTAGCCTTTGATTCAATCAAACGGATGGCTACAAATGAAGCATGATAATAATGGAAACCTATTATTATGGACAATTAGTGAAGTACTTAAAAGGAATATACGTATAATAGTAATTACTAAAGGGCACATAAGTAAAAACAATATGCTCTCACACGTTACTATTAAACTTAAGAGTTATTTTCCGTTACAGAACATTGCACCACTTTGTTGCAAATCTAGATCATTAAATTACTTGCCATTTGCATTTTGTCTATTAAAATTGGCAGCCATGAACGAAACATTACTATGTGCATTACTATGTGCAGTAATTATAAAATAAAAGTGCACATTAAACTCATTAGAATAACGTGGCATTGGTATATTAATTTCGCATTATTAATGATTCCACTATTCCAACAACAAAAAAATGATTCCACTATATAATAAAATAAAATTAAATGTTCGTTATTTACATAAAAACGCACTTTCTCCAAATTAAGAATTTATATGCATTTAGTGAAACTGAATTAAAAGTACAAAAATGTTGGTGTGTCGTACCTTTTAATTGTGCACATTTCTATTTCCCCCTAATGCACATTTGACCTGCATCTAATGCACAATTCGGCTTCACATAATGTCACTGCGTCGCACTATTTGTGTTGCACATTTAAGTTTCACCTACTTAATGCACATTCCAATGTCACCCAAAGCACATTCAACTTGATATAATACAATCCAACGGCAGGGCCGTCTCCAGGAATTTTGGTGCCCCAGACAAAAAATAACTAATGATATCAAATTGTACTTCAAATTAATAACATAATTAAATATGAAATAATTAGAAAATTATAACATCATTTTTTACTAAATGTAAAAAGAAATACTTGATTTAAAATTGATGTAAAGTATGTGAAAATATAAATTCTAAGAAATAAATAAAATTATAAAAGTACTACCTAATAACATATTCTTCTTGCTTTTTGATGTGCAAATTTGTAAATACATCACCACAATCAAGAGTAGATAACACTTTTTTCACCATTTGCAAGCACCAAGTTTAGTGTTTGTCACTAAAACTCCGTTTTTTATCAACGAGGTAATCATCATGATCAGTAATTCTTATTGGGCCAGTTTATTCTATATATATGGGAAAATTCTGAGTTCCGAAAGTTTGGACCTGAGGCGCCGTCCGAACACCGCCGTTTGGGGCGGTTCCTGGTGGAATTTTTCGATGAAATTTTTATGATATGTTATGCATCAAGTTTAGTTTATTCAAAAAACCTTCAGCTCAAAACTCGATCCGGAAGGCCGTCAACTAATTTTTGGAAATTGACTGCGTTTTTCTATTTATAATTTTGCGCAGTTAATTTCCAAAAATTATTTGACGGCCTTCCCGATCATATTTTGAGCTGAATTTTTTTTGGATAAACTAGACTTGATGAAGAACATACCATAAAAATTTCATCAAAAAGTTCCACCGAGAACCACCCCGATAGGCGTTGTTCTGACGGCGTTCGGACCAAAACCTGTTGGACAGGAGAATGATGCCCCTTGGGAGTGGTGCCCTAGGCCACTGCCTAGGTGCCTACCCCCTATGGCCGGCCCTGTCCAACGGTCCAGTTTTATTCTAATATCTCTCTTATGATTATTTTCTCATGAGTACATCTAAATTACCTAAGAAGTGCACACCTTAGTATAAGAGATCATTTCATATTTACTAAAAAGTGCACAACGACTCATATGTAAATGCACAACATAATTATATTACTTTGATGCACATATCATATATTATTCATGCACTTTTCATTATTTTTATTTAAATGTTTGACATATACAATTGATACCAAAAGACACCATCATAATCAATTAATTGTCATGCTTTTGAAATAAAAATTTCATCTCGTAGGAGTATGAAAAACATGCTAGCTCATTTTATATTTAGAATGTGATTGAAAAGGAAAGCAAATCATTGATTCATTTAAATGTTGGAAATGAATGGTGTACAAATATAGATGCAAGGTTATTAAAGCAAATATGTAATGACCAATATGGGCATGGAGATCATACGTAATTGTCAAGGAAAATGAAAACTAATCTCAGCCATCCAAATTTTTAATCTGATGCACAATAATAACTATCTAATGCACTGTGCATTAAAACTTATATGATGCACTTTTTCAAAATGTGCATCACATAAGTTTTAATGCACAATGCATTAGATAGTGATTATTGTGCATCATATTGAATATATATATATATATATAGGGGTGGGATCATAGACAAATTAAACTACTCCTCCCATGCTAACCTACAAACTCGGACAAACTGTGCATCTTTACATTATTTGTATTGCATATTGAAGTTCAAAGTGTTGCATATTATTTGTATTGCATATTGAAGTTCAAAGTGTTGCATATTATTTGTATTGCATATTGAAGTTCAAAGTGTTGCATATTATTTGTATTGCATATTGAAGTTCACAGTGTTCATCTTTGCATTATTTGTATTGCATATTGAAGTTCAAAGTGTTGCATATTATTGAGTTTGTAGGTTAGTATTTTAAGCATGGTTTGTATTTGATCTCTTATCTATATATATATATATATATATATATATATATATATATATATATATATATATATATATATATATATATATATATATATATATATATACACTAGACGATAAACCTGTGCATTGCACGGGAATACTCAATATACATTAATGAGATAAAAAGAGATTGATTGATTATTTTGTTCCAAACTTATTCCATACTTGAAGTGTTATTAAATCGATCAATGATCATGTTATGAAAAAAACATTACAATTTCTTACTTTATCTAAAAAAGTGATTAAACCACAAAAATCACCTTTTGAAAATTTAGAATGAGGGGAATTTAATTATACAGAGTATTTTTTAAAAATAAATTATTAATACATTAGTAAAATAAAACGTAGTAATAGTAGAGCACCTTATGAAAACATTACAATTTCCTACGTTATCTAAAAACATGATTAAACCACAAAAATCACCTTTTGAAAATTTAGAATGAGTGAATATAATTATTCAAAGTATTTTTTAAATATAAATTATTAATACATTAATAAAATAAAACATAATAATAGTAGATCACGTGAATAGTGTAAAATTTCCAATGTTACAATTATTTAAAAACGGAAATACTATATATGGTCGTATGAATAGTAAATGACTTTTAGTGTGTGTCTGAATGGGCCAAACAACTCCATTACAAAATTACAAAATCATTTGTTATGTCTGTCATTTTCTTCGGATTGAAATTTGGTGTCATCAACATCATCTCCAATGTCAACTCCAATAATACTAGTATTGGAGATGATCGGAGATGATGTTACAAATTGGCCACCCAAATGACCCAATTGCTCTATATAATACGGAGTGTAAAAATTAATTATATGTCTAGAAAGACTAAACAATTGAATTTCAAAATTGCAAAATCAATTGTCCACCCCAATTGCTTTAGGCGGAAACATTGCAAAATCAATTGGCCACCCAATTGATCTATACTCCCTCTGTCCCAATTTGATTTGCAAAATTTCCTATTTTAGTTGTTCAAAATGGTTTTCCACTTTTTATTTTAGCTATGTAAATAAGAATAAAGTGACAAATTTATCCTTACTTTTACTTTTTTCCATCAACTTAAAGGCATCTACTTTTAGGAAGATGGGCAAAAGTGTAAAAAAACAAGCATCATTTATTATCATTCTTTAGTATTTGTGTCAGTCAAAGTTTACAATTCGATTCAGGACGGAGAGAGTATAATATAAAGATAAAGATATAATATAAAGATGAGAACTTTTCCATGGATGGAGGTAGTATATATTACTATTATAATATTACTAATGGTTATTTGGTTCCTACACATATGTATATAATATAAAGTACATGGCCGTATGAAATAATACTTCCTCCGTCCCGCTAACAATGGGATAAGAGGGAGTGACACACAAATTAATAAAAGTGGTTTATGTGGTTGATATTGAATTGATAAAGTAACAATAAAGTAAGAATGATTTAGAGCCACACAAACTTTACCAAATTTGATATGGGACAATCTTAGTGGGATGGACCGATAAGGTAAAATGAGATAATCACAGCGGGACGGAGGTAGTAAATGACTTTCAGTTGAATTAATTGTGTGCCTGGATGGACCAAACAACTCAATTGCAAAATTGCAAAATCAATTGAGCACCACAATTGCTTTAGGAGGGAAAATTGCAAAATCAATTAACGACCCAATTATTTTATATAATGTAAAGATTAATTGTGTGCCTGAATGGACCAAACAACTCAATTGCAAAAGAGAGAATTCCCAATATGGGAGTTAAACATAGAAAATATGCAAAAATAGGAGTCCTATGAGTTACTTAAGTTTCATACAAAAGTTTTAATAGAAACTGGCCAAAGTACCCTTAATGATGAAATCCAGGTTTGTTTAATATATTTATCAACTCACACATACATATAAAACAAATTACACATGTGTATAGCCTATTCTCAACATATCACCGCACCAGATGTGGTGCTAGACTATCACCTCTTGTTCAGCCACCACCGCCGGCCGCCGCCGGACGCCACCGCCTCCGGTTGTCGGACGCCACCCGCCACCGGTCGCCGGATGCCACCGCCACCGGACGCCACCACCGCTAGATGCAAGATGCCACTGCCGGCGTCGCCTAAACTGCCGTTGCTGCCAAACAAGTCTTCATCTGCTGTTGCCCTCTATCTTCCATCGCCGCCACACATCCTCTCGGGTTGCCGCCATATGTTCCGCCATAACCACCGATTCTACTAGTGTGCCTGCTTCCATGTCTCTCTAGTTAGATGTAGATCTCCTACCAGATACATTATTACCATCTTCATAAAAATAATAAAATATTATTTAATGTCATTTTAAAATCATAATGTCATTTTGTAAAAAAAATACATGAAATTAACATTTGTAAAACATGACATTATTTGCTTAACATATCCGTGTAATTGCCATCTTTACGAAATTAATGTCGACTTCATAAATGTAAAATGACATTATTTGCTAAACATATTGAAAAACACTTCATAAATGTGAAATGACAATATTTGCCAAACATATTGAAAAACATGGCATTTAAAAAAAAATGTCATTTTTGAAATGGCAAAAAAATAGAAAGATAAAATAAAGAGTCAAAGAAATAAAAGGTGAGAAAAATTGAAAGACCAAATAAAGGAAAAGGGAGATTGAAGCTTGAGAAATTCAGATCTCGAAAGGAAAAAGAACATTCTCTTAAAAATCAAATCAAAATTTGGTTGTAATGAAAGCAAGAAGGTTTACGCTCCAAAAGGTGCAGTTGCGCAAAGGAGAAAAATAATAATGGAGAAGAAGGGAAAGAAGAATAAGAGGAGGAGGAGGAGGAGGAGGAGGAGGAGGAAATCAAACTTGCCTATGTTTGCCCCGTTGTACACTGATAGCCGGAGTTCGACGGAGAAATTCACTGCCCAAACCTTTGTAATCCATCGACAGTCCGACAAAGATGAAGTCTCGAGATGGTTAAATGGATGAGTGAGTGCTAGAGGAGAAACGGGTGAAGATGGGAGAAGGCAGGGGAAAGAAAAGAGAGAAAAAGGTGTGATGGAGACGGAAAATGTCTGACAGAAGGAAAATCAATTGATAAATATAATTAATTTAGGCTACTTAGAAAGAGGGGTATAATTAGGAAAAGGAACGGGCCAGTCAACAATAAATTCCTATATAGGGAATAAATCATTAAGTACTCTTATTTTGGAACTTCCTTAATGTTTTAGTCCTATTAAGGACAATTTCTTATTGCAAAATTGCAAAATCAATTGAGCGCCGCAATTACTTTAGGAGAAAAAATTGCAAAATTCATTGTTATACTCCATACTGTATAACACAAAGATGTCATCTCCGATAATAATAATATTGGAGATGATAGGAGATGATGTTACAAACTTGCAAAATCAATTGGCCACCCAAATCACCTCATTGCTCTATAGGAGATTAATTTTGTGTCCGGATAGACCAAACAATTGAATTGCAAAATTGAAAAATCAATTGTCCACCCCAATTGCTTTAGGTGAGAAGATTACAAAATCAATTGGTCACTCAATTGCTTTATGTAATATAAAAATAAAGATATAATATAAAGATGAGAACCTTTTCACAGAAGGAGGTAGTATATATTACTATTATAATACTACTAATGGTTAATGCACATGTATATCATAGCCTTTTAGGAAAGAACTTCGAGAACAATGAGAATGATTATACTACTTAAATGATAGTTATGAATGTAAAATCCCAAATCCCAACAAGAAGTCAAGAAACGCAGGGTGCACATTGTATCATAGAATCGCTAAGTCAAAAAATCAATAATCGGCCAATCGCCACTCCACATCTCACGCCGGTGATTGCTCGCTGGTCGGACGTTGAACCGTCGGTGCATGGCAGCCTCAACTCTCAACTCTCGAGTCAGCCCCTGCCAATGTCCACTCGGTTGAAAAAACCAAGAAGTAAGAAATGTAGAACCAACCTCCGAATAAGTGGTGTTCATTCTGTTCAAGAAGATGAATGGGTCTGGTGACTGGTCCCCTGGCTATAGAGGCTTGCTAATCCCAGAGAGCTCAAAGGGCCATAATTGGCCTGAAGGCGGTGTCTGAAGGTCTATCTTTGAAAGAGGTGGTGACAGTAAACATGTTAATCTTTATTAGAGTTGTGTAGATACTTATCAATGTTGTTAGCCTTCATTAATTGTTAATTACTAGTTGAAGAACACTTTCCAAATTTCATTCCTACCGTATCAAATGCGTTCGAAAATAGTGGCTAAACAGTGTTTCTCAGATTCGGCAAAAAATCCATTACTACTAAGTAAAAAAACAGTACTAAATAAAAAAACAATTACCTATTTACACATTTCTTTTACCTCTGTCAGCATTGGTTAAAACCAAATTAAAGCTTTCTTCAAATTCTTCAAAACAATCGTGGTTTTTTTTTTGGCTTCAGCGTACACGGTTATGCCAAGCAATGCCAATCCAGTCCACCAAAACATCTACTTTGGGGGTTTGAGGGAAGATATCGATTGGCTCTCATCTATTAAGGGAAAGGGAAAAGTACAGAAAATGTACATGTGGTTTGAGTCATTTTAAGATAGAGGCACATAGTTTCATTTTTTAATAAAATGGGACATGTGTTTCAATTCTGTTATCACAGCTGGGGCATGACGTCTAACGCCGTTAGAAAAATTAACTCCTATTTTCAAAAGTCTCCGAACAATTAAAAAAAATATTGGGAGGTGCACCTCGGCTAAGGATGCTGAGGCCGATCGTCCTCTTTGTGGAGACAAACGTTTGACGGGTTCCTTCGCTGGATTATGTCTGAACTGGGCCTTGGTGGTTTCCTCATATAAGGAATCGGTCAATCCCCTATCGGGCCATTAACCAACAATATAGGACAGTGTACTATGAAGCCAAGTTTGAAGGTTTATAAAGACTTGATTTATAGTGTTGAACTGTTGAAGCAATATTTAATATTCCATGTGCTACCTTACTAGTTACTACCTAATTACTATGAAGCTGGATGCTTACCTAATTGTTGACGATCTATCTTTACTCTTGATCCCCCCCCCCCCCCCCCCCCCCCCCCCCCCCAATTACCCTATATATTATCCCTCATGGGTGCCCACGTGAATCGTTTTTTCTTGTTTGCGTATTATTTCAAATTATGCACATCATCATCACTAAATAGCTATATATTAATGATGTGTACGATATAGTCTAGAAAATTAAATAATTTTCTCATTTGAATAAGCTTTTTATTTAGAAAAAAGCAAGTACACGCTTAGGTAATTCATCAAGCAAAACTTAAGTTAGACTATGTTCTGCTTTCCATCCATTGTTTCCATGCAGTCCTAACTTCTTCCAATTGGCACTCTGGTATTTCTGTGTTTGCATCCAGTATCTCAGCCCACTCCCTCCATGGAGACCCTAAAGGATCTAAAAATCCAGACAATTGGGGCAACATTGTGGATTGGTAAAAATCATTCACAGCTTTGACAATATCTTCAGACTCTAACAGTCTAATCAACTCAGCTCTTGCTTTGTTGCTCGGCACCTTTCTTGAAGCAAAGCCATTACCCTTCAAAATTAAAACTTCAGACGGAGCAAGGGGAAGGACGATACGCGAGTGTTTGCAAAGAGATAATCTCAGAACATCACGGGGTAGCAACTTCCGCTTTATTGCAATTGCTGTCGCTACCATTTTCCTTATCTGAATAGACATGAGGTAATTAAAAAAACAATCAACGGTATAAACCAAATGCAAAATGATATCAGAAAACTTACTAGTACGCTTAATGAAAACTTAAGTCCAAGAGGATTTACTAATATACCTTGTTTAGCTCATGACTTTCTGGTTGATGATATTGGTACCAAGAAGAAACCCCAAAGACAATAACAAATAAGCATTAAAAAAAAGAATTGCTTAAATACAAAACTCATTTAATGTACATTTTTTACCATTATAATAGTTGGGCGTTCTGGTTGATACCAGAGTACCAAAATCATTTTGATTTTAAGACTATAGGACAGAAAAATAAATTATCTATGAGCTTCTGAAGCATTCAACAATATCATTTTCATTTCATTTTCATTTACCCCAGTGCCGCAAAGGCTCCCACCGACGGTGGGGTAAGGGGGGGTCGGATGTAAGCAGTCTTACCCCTGCACTAAAGCAGGAAGAGACTGTTTCCGGATGACCCATAGTGAAAATGGCGTCCAAAATTGCATGGACTGACTACTGCTTCATAACAAAGAAGCGCAGACAGTTTAGTGAGCCATTTTGCTTTATTCCATCATAATCTCAAGCCAAAAAATAATGAATCTTTGGCTCCATTGCAAATGATGGAAAATAAGCATTCAACAATATGATGCAATTAAATCTTCAGAGATGCAAATTCAGAAATATTTGAAACCATCAACTCTTGGGAAGTCCTAAAGTTCATGAAAAAACAATTGACAATATTAACTGTATCCCCTACAACATTAAGTGCCAGTTAGGATGGAGGGTTTTGGATGATTTTGAGAGGGAATGTTTTGGAGGGTTACGTCTATATTTTTATATATATTTGTGATATATTTTAAAACAGAAGGAATAACATAGTATGTGATACGTGCTTACGTAGTACAACATTTCATTTTTTATCAATTATATTTATCAAATTCTTCATTCCATTTTTATCAATCGTATTTATCAAAGCCTTCCCCTCCATCAAGCTGGCCCAAGCAGAAGCCCCCCCCCCCCTAAAAAAATTGATTTACACACATCCATAAAAGTGGCCCTATGATAACACAAATTGAATTATAATAATGATAACACATGGAAATGGAGAACGAAAATAGGGACTGGGTGTAGTTGGGAAAAGAGTCAGGAATTCAAATACAGCGTATTAAGTAACCTAATTTCTTAGAAGAAAACAATGCAAGTGAAGTATAACTCCTAATAGAGAAAATAAGTAGATAGAAAGTGATGCCAAAAAAAGAGTTACCTGATGTAACATGAATGACTCTCCACAGACATAAATTTCTATATAATTCATACCAAGAACCTGCTCCAAATTCCCGCAATGACAATAAAATATCCTTCTGAAATGGGAAGAACTGAGTTTATCCCTCTCATCAGGTTCATAAAGCCATCTTGCACGGGTTGATAATACAGGATTACGCTCCTCTGGGTTATTCATATCACAATCCTGGATGCCAGGTGGAGTATTTTGAATCCTTTCCTGAACCGTTCTCACAGCATTTTTTGCTGCAAAGGATTTGTTCCCATCAATGTCCTCAGGTTCACATAAATCTTCCTCCTCGTCTTCTTCTTCTGCACATGTTTTTCCTATTTTATCCTTCATTTTGTTTCTGGTGGGAAACTGTTTCCTGTACTTGGATCTCATTGTATAGTTGTGGAATGGATGTTCCCCCTGTAACCCCACAACGATGAACAAGAATATAATGATGCAACATTTCTTGCTTTACAGTTTACTCGGTGAATTCTTACATGGAATAGAATTAATTTAATTACAGAAGGGAGAAATTTTTCACAATGTATAAAAAGAAAATACCTCAAAGGTTTTTAGTATATTGTTAAAATCTGATAAGTGATATTCAACTTCAGATGAATTTGACTCATTCTTTATCCCAATGATTTCAGCAGGAAGGAGGTAAGAATACCGCCTGACATTACACTCCTTTCTAGCATCAAATGTTCTGTAAGCAAAATATAAATTATTCCTATTATTATTGTCAACACATGAGAAAATTAAAAACTCAATGTGTATAAAAGGACCACAACTTCACACGACCAGATAAAATTTTTTATACTCGCAAGAAGATAGAGAAATTAGTCATAGAAAAGTAAAAAAACATAGTAATGATAACATGGTTTTTTAGCAACTCAACATACCTTGATTTCTTTTGGGTACATTTGGATCCTTAAAAATGCTAGAGAAAAGGAAAATATGCTATGCAAAGTACAATTCTTATGTTTGGTTTTAACAAGGAAAATGAATGCTACTATTTTATTTCAGATTTACATACATTTACATTTGTTACTCTTTATAAAGTAGATATAAGTACATAAAATGAGTATTAAATATTAAAAGTTAATATTTCTTTTATAGTTTTAGCCTACTTTTTGTTTTCTCTCTTGATTTTCCTCAATATTTATCTTCCTATTATCAGTCCTACTATCTCCTGTGATGCATACGGACCCTTTAAGTTATAACAACTTGGCTACAAATGCAGGTTAACGCTTTTCAGTCAACATTTTTGAAATCCTTCTAAACTTGGTCAGTGAAAGCCCACACTTATACCTTAAATGATAATGAAGGGCTATGGAGCTGCAACTATTGAATATTAGAAATTAAAATTTAGTGTTATTTTTTGTGCACAAGATAAGATTTAGCAGGCGCATATATTCAAAAATAACTAAATTACTTCTAACAGCTAACATATAAAAAAATGACATAGAATCTCACCTTTGTAATGGGAGGATGCTGAACACTCTAATGCTCTCTGGGAGATGAGAATCAACTATAGATGCAAGACCCATGCCACTAGGGTCATTCTTCCATGCCGTCTCAGGGATTTCCATTTTCAAGGATATAATAGTAGACAAAGAATGCACCTAATGTGTGATATGAATATATGAAATTAGCAATTATTTCAGAGAACAGGAAATTAATGGTCCAAAAAAAATATCTAAGCTTCGGGGTTTAAAATGCTGCTTACTCCTTTATCAGTCCGGCTACTTCTTGCCCAGCCAATTTTGTACAAATTCCCAAAATTACTATCTTTAATACCGCCTGCCTTGAAAATAGCCTTTTCCAGTTCACCTTCAATGGCTGCATTGCGGAACTGTAATGCTTTAGAAAAATCCCAAATTCACACCAATCCTGTTCAAGTATCATATTCATCACTTGGGAGATACAGAACTTCAATCCCCAATTTTGGTGAAGAACATAAATCCAATCTTAGTACGGGGCACTAACCAGTCTAACCCGAGTGTGAAGAAGGATGAATTCATACAGAAATACATTCAATGCTAAAAGGAAGATAGTAAAATTGCATATGGGAAGAAGGATTCTTACTAGAGAACCCATGTTCATCCCTTTGCTTTTGAAGTCCTGCAGCAAAACTCAACATAAAACGCTGGGATTGAAGTCAACAAAAATATAGGAAAGAGATAAGCAAGTTGAACACTCTCTGGCTAAAAGTACCTCGATAATCGGAGCCTATGTATCCGACCCGCATAACAACTTTCTTTTTTAAGAAGGGTTCCCATTTGGTGGCAGAGATGGGGTTGCCCGGGTTAGACAGAGGCGTAGCTGCCACTTCCGGTGAGGAACAAGGATCGAAATAAATTGGGACTGCCGAGGAGGAGGATGAAGCGCAGAAACAAAGAGAAAATGAGAAACGCTTGCGGGGGATTCTGAAACGGAGAAGAGTTCGGGGGCGGAGAGCGAACGGATGGCCTAAGGGAGAGACAGCCATAGCCGAGGACTCGACTGTGCACATAGTAACTCTGCAGGTTGCAGCTGGTTTTTGGTACCTTGCTATTCCTGTTAGTTTTTTCCATTATTTACGGAGTATTTAGTTACTCCCTCCGTCTCATATTTATCTCCTGAAATAAAAATGGCACACAGATTAAGATAGTGTGAAATGTGTGGTGGAAAGTTGTGCAGATGAAAGAGAAATGTGTAAGAATGGTTGTGAACCACGAATTCTTTGCTAAAAAGGAAAGAGGAGATATATTTGGGACAGACCGAAAAGGAAAGTATGAAGATAATTCCGGGACGGAGGGAGTAATATTTTAATATTACTATCTCCATCCCGTTATGATTATCCCATTTTACCTTATGGGTTCGTCCCACTAAGATTATCTCATGCCAAATTTGGTAAAGTGTGTGTCTCTAAATCATTCTTACTTTATTATTACTTTATCAATCATATATCAACCACATAACCCGCTTTTTATTAATTTGCGTGTCACTCCCTCTTGTCCCATTGTTAGCGGGACGGAGGGAGTAATATTTTGTAAATAAAGTACATATACTTAAGGGGGGAAACGTTTCTGAATTGGTCCATTTATTAGATAAGGATTATCCACTTTTTTTTTAGATAAGGATTATCCACTATTCCCACTCAACTAAGTGGGAGAAGATTGGTAACTTCTCCCATTTTTTGCGTTGCACGATGAGAGTTCTTTGATGGGCAGAACACGATAAATAGCAGCGGTATTGGCTCTTGTTTTGTACCCCTGAGTCTGCTCCTCACTATCATTATACACAATTACACACCATCTAATCTTGTGAAGAGAAAGGCTTGGAACAGCAAAACAAGCAAGGCAGTGAGCTGTGTTGTTCAAAGAAATGGTTGGAGGTATGTATTATCAATATCTTGCTTCTGCTTATTGTTATATTGATGTGAATATGTCCTGAATACGTTTGACATGAACTCCATTTTTTACCTCAATTATTAGTAATGAGCATTTATATATTATATTTTATAGTTGTTCAACCTGCGAATGTTTCTGATATGAAATGTGACATTCCTGAATTAAGGGACGATAACTATAAGGTTTTGTAGGAACATGTTCTCCCTCATTTGGGCTGGATGGACATTGACTATGCAATAAGTAAAGACGAATCACCGACTATAAGTGTAACTAGCACTCGAGATGCGATTGATCTTTATGAAAAATGGGAGAGTTCTAACCGTCTTTCAGTAATGTGGAAGCTTGACAGCCCATGAGAAGAAAAAGAAGGATCATGCCAAAGCTAAAGGCAGCATCCCTCCACAAGCAGTCATTAAGAAACAGTCAAAGTGTTTCTTTTGCAAGAAAAAGGAACACATGAAGAAAGAATGCTCAAAATTCAAGAGCTGGCTCAAAAAGAAAGGTACTACATTAGCTTTTGTGTGTTATGAATCTAATATGATTAATATTAATCACAACAGATGGTGGATTGATTCGGGTTCAACAATCCATGTTTCTAATATCTTACCGGGTATGGAAAACCTAAGGAAACCAGTGGCAAGTGAACAATGCATCTATTCAGGAGGAAGAATAATTTCACATGTTGAAGCCATTAGGACATGCAATTTAGTTTTAAGCAGTGGTTTTGTTTTACGATTGGAAAAGACCTTTTATGTTCCTAGTTTTTCTAAGAATTTGATTTCTGTTTCGAGACTAGCTCCTTTAGAATTTTGTTTCAATTTCTCAAGTTCTGGTTTTACCTTAATAAATAAATAAAAAACTATTGATTTTGGTTCATTAATTGATGGTCTTTATTCAATTGATGTGAAAAATGATGTTACTTATGATTCAATGCATGTAACAACTGGTTCAAAACGATGTGTTGTGAATGAGAAATCCTCTATGTTGTGGCATCAGACACTATGGCATATCTCTATATTAAGAGAATTAAGCGTTTAGTGGATGAAGGAGTACTAGTACTCTAGACTTTTCTGATTTTGATACTTGTGTGGGTTGTATTAAGGGTAAACAAACCAACAAGTACAAGAAAGATGCCAAGAGGAGTTCTAACCTATTAGAAATCATACATACAGACATTTGTTGACCAAGTATGGATGCAAATAGTCTGAGATACTTTATCACCTTCATAGACGATTATTCGCGATACATGTATCTCTACTTACTTCATTTTAAAGATGAGGCGCTAGATGCCTTTAAAGTTTTTAAGACTGAAGTAGAGAAGCAATGTAATAAACAAATTAAGATCATGAGGTCGAATAGGGGTAGAGAGTACTATGGTAGATATACGGAGAATGGACAAGCACCTGGTCCATTTGCGAAGTTTCTTCAAGAAAATGAGATTGTTGCCCAATACTCTATGCTTGGTTCTCCGGACTAGAATGGTGTAGCTGAAAGAAGGAATCGAACTTTAATGGACATTATGAGAAGCATGAGGAGTGATGTAAAACTTTCTCAATTTTTGTGGGTTGAAGCACTAAAAACAGTCGCATGTATATTAAATTGAGTTCCATCTAAGGCGATCTCAAAGACTCCTTTTAAGTTATTTAAAGGATGGAAACCGAGTTTGAACCATATATGTGTTTGGGGCTGCCCATGTGAAGTAAGAATCTATAACCCTAAAGAAAAGAAGCTAGATCCTAGGACTCTTAGTGGTTATTTCGTTGGATATGCTGAAAAATCCAAGGGGTATAGATTTTATTGTCCATCACATAACACTAGAATTGTGGAGTCAAGAAACGCAAAGAGATCGTGACTTAGTTAGTGGGAGTGATGAATTTCGGAACATTGTTTCTGAAAGAGATCACATTGAGAATCCACCATGCGAACCAAGTGATAGATTGATTATCGTACACGCTCCTCAAGTGCACATGCGTGCTAGACAATCAATAAATAAGAATCCACATGAAGTTGGAAATGACTTAGTGGATCAAACCATTGTTGGAGGGCAACAATACAATGGTGAACAATACGTCAGGAATAGCTACCAACTCAGTTGCAAATACAGAGGTTAACGATGAGTGAGATACTCCCACCTCTCACTACAATTCCGGTGAACTATTCTTAAGTTTGGCCACCTTCATTCTGCTACTCCTGCTACCGAGACCTGAACAAAGGCTACCAGACCAGGACTCAGTGCCCTCATGAACGACTGGTTTGCCCGGAATGGAACACAACCCCCATTGGAATGGTTTGTCAGGATCAAAGCTACTCAGCCAACATAGCCAGGGCTAAAATCGACATTCCGTTCAACCACCATATGCGCTATAGCAGACATCCATTACACCCAAGGCATCACCGACTGGTTAGCACGGAATGGAACATAACCCCCACCGGTCGCCACCACCTTCATCAGCCACCGCACCGCAACCACAGACCACCGGATAGCACAACTCACATCTGCTCTATACCAGCCCACAAAACCAGAACAGAGGATCCATATGGCCCCTGTCGCACAATTAGCCGCAAACGTCGACATCTACCACAAGGTCCACACCACCACGACTAGCGCACCCTCAATCTCCATCACACCCATCCAGCAAACGAAAGGTCAGTTGCCTACTCCAATCACTACACGCTTTTAAAATTGGAAGACAAATCTTCCATAGTGACTGAACAAGACAGACTCCTCCCTCATAGCAACCCGAAGAACAATCAGAACATAGGAATTGCAGGCGACCGTATTCATAGCAGGTTAAAATCTGGAACTCTAATCCCTCCTCAACTCGGCGGAAATTCAAATCGACGCCAAGACCAAACATCTACACCTGAGGTCCTGCCAGAAAAATTGGTTGGGACAATTGCCGGCACAAGTTCTTCATCGCTCACAGATCGGAACTCCTCTGCTAGTCTGGTGCAAATTGTTCGTCGCTTACCTGGGAACCCAACACATGAAGACCTGCCCCTTTTCACATGGGCTGATTTGTTTCGTAATGGCAAGGACAAAATAACCCATGTCCTTGATGTAGCCCATATCCCCACAAGACCCATGTCACACTCAAAAGAGATCAACCTCTGTTTAGTTGACGAAAATACAACACCTTCACAAATAATTCACACAGATCAGAAGACCCTCAGTGACTCGAAAAACTTTCAATTCTTTGGGGAATAAGGGTTTGATTCAATTAGAATTGAGTATAAACTCTTTAAATTTGGAATAAAAAACAATGAAATTGCTATTTTCGAGATCTACAAATCTCTACTCAACAAGATTACTTTCAATCTGAATTTGGCTCCACAAATCATCCATTTTATCACTCAGCTCACAAGATCAGACCAAACTTATCGGCATCAAAGGAGATTTGGACCTATCAAGGTTTCCTCAGAATTCAATAAATCAGGTTGCTTCTTGAAAATTACTATAGAAAAAGGGAGTTTCAGCTTGATTCGAAAGGGCCCAAAAAACTCCAGACTCCTCAGATTTCTTGATATTTTTGCAAATTTTGTAGGGTATTGTGAATCGATGCAGGAGGAACCAATGCATCTGGAGCACGAGTCCACGACATGCACAGAGGAAATCACATCAATTTCCAAACTTATTTTCAATTCTCAAATTCAGGGAGCCTATGCTGAGAAACAAAAGTTTAAATCTCCAGAGAATCACTCCAAACTTCCTCTGAATCAGGTTCACTCAGACGTCTCAGACAACTTCGACCCATGAGATGACTCATATTTTTCAGACGACTTTCTAGGGCACGCTACTAAAAGCGATCGTCGACCGCCAATTTCCAATAGGGACGACATTCGGGACTCCAACTTCAACAGATAGATTTGCCATAAATCTCAATTTATCACTCTGGACTCTTGTCTTCCAACTGATAATCTGAATACTCAACTCAAAATCTACCGCAAAACGCAACAGAACAAATGGAGACATAGCATGCAGACTAGATCACAATATAAGTCTTTCCCTTGGGACTAGCTATTTTTATTTTATTTCCTTTCTTTCCCTTTTCCCTTTTGTACTTCTCTTTTTTTATTTGCTTTATTTCTTATTTTCGCACTGTAATCTTTCTTTTCGTTCTTCAATAAAATTTCTATTTTGTCAAAAAAAAAATCTGGTGAACAACTGGTTGCACAACTCGTTGTTGAACAAGATGATGAAGCAACATTAAGAAGATCTACTAGAGTCAAAAGACCAATGATACCTAGTGATTATGTAGTGTATCTACAAGAATCAGGCTGTGATATAGGAGCTGAAAATTATCCTGAAATGTTTTCACAAACCATGAGTTCTAAGGAATCAAACTTATGGATTGATGTTATGAAAGATGAGATGAATTCTATGGCATTTAATAAAGTCTGGGATCTCGTTGAGTTGCCAAGTGGTGTAAAAGCCATCGGGTGTAAGTGGGTGTTTAAAACCAAGAAAGACTCACAAGGTAACATTGAGAGATATAAAGCAAGACTTGTAGCCAAAGGGTTCACTCAAAGAGAGGGAATTGATTATAAGGAACCCTTTTCTCCTGTATCTAAAAAGGATTCTCTTAGGATCATCATGGCATTAGTGGCTCATTTTGACCTTGAGCTACATCAAATGGATGTGAAAATGACTTTCCTCAATGGTGATCTAGAGGAAGAGGTTTATATGAAACAACCAAATGGATTCTCCTCTAGTGAAGGTAAGCACTTAGTTTGCAAGCTAACTAAATCCATATACGGTTTAAAACAGGCCTCCCGCCATTGGTATTTTAAATTTAATGAGGTTATTACTTCATTTGGTTTTAAGGAAAATATCAAAGATGGATGTATATACCTCAAGGCTAGTGGGAGCAAAATATGTTTTCTTGCGTTATATGTGGATGATATTTTGCTTGCAACTAATGATGTTAGTATGTTACATGAGGTGAAAAGTTTTCTCTCGAAAAACTTTGATATGAAGGATATGGGAGAGGCATCTTTTGTCAGTGGCATAAAGATCCGTAGAGAAAGATCTAGAGGCATTTTAGGCTTGTCTCAAGAGTCCTATATCGTACACAAAGTTTTAGAGAGATTTAACATGAAGCAATGTTCACCTAGCGTGGCTCCCATTGTAAAGGAAGATAAGATGGATTTAAGTCAGTGCCCCAAGAATGATTTTGAGCGACAACAAATGAAAAATATCACATATGCTTCAGCCATAGGAAACCTAATGTATGCTCAAATCTGCACTAGACCCGACACTGTGTATGTTGTTGGGGTTTTGGGAAGATATCATATTAATCCAGGGGTTGAGCATTGGAGAGCTGCAAAGAAAGTTATGAGATATCTCCAAGGAACAAAGGATTTCATGCTCATGTACAAACGAAGTGACAAGCTGGAAGTAGTGGGATGCTCCGATTCAGACTACACTGGCTGCATTGATACCCGAAAATCAACTTCTGGTTATATATTTTTGTTAGCTGGTGAAGTTGTATCTTGGAGAAGTGCAAAGCAAACTTCAATTGCTACTTCCACTATGGAAGCTGAGTTTATTTCTTGTTTTGAACCTACATCGCATGGTGTGTGGTTGAAGAGTTTCATATCTGGGCTTAGAGTTGTGGACTCTATTTCTGGGCCATTAAAGATATATTGTGATAACTCAAATGCTGTTTTCATGGCAATTAACAATAAGAGTGGAAGTCGATGCAAGCACATTGACACTAAATATCTATCCATAAGGGAACGTGTCAAAGATCAGAAGGTGGTCATTGAACACATTAGGATTGAGTTAATGATAGTTGATCCTTTAACTAAAGGCATGCCACCAAAGAAATTTCAGGATCATGTAAGTGTGATGGGACTT